AGAACCGAATCACCTTCCATTAGACTCAACCCCTGGAAGGTTCTACGACTCACACTGCTACTGTGGACATAACTTCAATGACATACCCCCCTCCCCACCCCCCACCCCCCCCCCCCTTCACCCCACCCCCCACCCCCGGCAGTGGACCCACTGAAACTATATCTAAACCATAGCAAGGGTTAAATCTCTGCGATGTAGACTCTGGACTTGAGAGATGGTTCCGTGGACAAATCTCTTGCTGTGAAAATATGAGAACCTAAGTTGGAGTTCCAGAAGCCACATAAAGCTAGAGTTGGTGGTATGCATCTAGGATCCCAACACTCTTACTGAGAGGTGGAGAATACCAAGAAACTCTTGAGGCAGATGGTCTGGTCTCGATGCAGCCAAGAACAAATGAAACCCTGACTCAAAGAAGAAAAACCAGCTGACACTTGAGGTTATTTTATGATCTTCACACTCAAGTGTGGCATGTGCCACCACCACCACCACCCACACATACACAGAGGGATGCAGGAGGTTTCCTGAGCTACAGACCGGCCTTGGTTATGGAGGGACACCACGTCGAAAAGGAAAGAAAGGAAAGGAAAAGAGGAGAAGAAGTGAGCTCTCACCCCTCAGAGGGCTCAGCTGATCCTCTAGAAAGCAATGAGCCTGGATAACCTTCAAAAGTTTCTGAGTTTGGGCAAAGGGCTGGGTCTTTGTACACCCATGTTCATTAGTCTTTGGATATCGGCCACAGGGAGAAAAGAGAGTGACCGCAGACAAGCTGAGGTCATCACTGGAGTGACTGACAGTTGAGGGCTGTTTGCTGGCAGGCAGCCTTCCCAACAGCGGAGGACAACGTTTTTCATTCTGAAAGGAGAATTACAGCAATTACCGGAAGTGCCTGTTCATGACTCATTGTTCATTCAGACACCTCTGTAAGTATCTGTTCAAATCTTACCATTCAATGGATCGTTGTCTTTTGTTGTTGTTTTTAGCTATTCCTTATATTATCTGGATACGAATGCTTTATCAGGTATATGAATATTTATATTCTCCCGTCCTTCTTAATGGTTAACTCATTTTCTGTTTTTAATCTTTTGGGATTTTTTTTGTTTGTTTATTTTGTTGTTATTGTTTTCAAGACAGGGTTGATTACTATGTGAAGCCCTGGCTGTCTGGGAACTCGATCTGTAGACCAGGCTGTCCTCAAACTCAGAGATCTGCCTGCCTCTGCCTCCCAAGTGCTAGGATTAAAGGCATGTGCCACCACTGCCTGGCCCCAATTAGCTCTTAGAAGTTAAATAAGCCCGTTTATATTAATCTCCATTTTGCCATGTGGGTCATTACCTCCCCTCAGTAAAGTATGTCTGACTTCCTTCAAGTCTGGCAGGTGAATCCCCCAACCTCAGATTCTTTCCCAGAGTTCCTATCTCTCCCCGGAAGTCCCACCCGTCTCCTGCCTGCTACTGGCTGTTCAGCTCTTTATTAAACCAATCAGAAGGTGCCGTAGGCAGGTGAGGTAGAACAGAAACACATCTTCACACAGTATACAAAAAGATTATCCCAACACCACAGTCCTGCAGGAGCCCTTGGAAGCCAGAAGATGGTGTTGGATCCTCTGGAAATGGAGTAACAGGAAGTTGTGAGCCACCATGTGGATGCTGGGAAGTGAACTCTGGTCCTCTTATAAGAGTAGGCAGTGCTCTTAACTGATGAGCCTTCTCTCCAGCTCCTGTGTGCCCTTCTGACTTTCCTTGGATACACTGCAGATCTGTATGTGCGGCTTGTATGTGAACCCCCCTCCCCACCCTGTTTCCATGGTCACATTCACTGTTTCTTCTTTCTCCCTCTTTCTCTAGGTTGTTCACACATTCATTCTCTACTTATGTCTGAAGCTATAGATACCCAGAAAGCCTACAAATACAGAATCTGGTTTCTTTTTTAAGGACCGAACTCATGATTCTTTTTATGGGATATATAGACTCATTCAGTGAAAGTCAAAGATAAAGATAAACAACCTGAGACAAAACATCACAAACCTATTTTCAGAGATGGACAAATTCTTACACTGAGGTTGGTTCAGCACAATGAACTAAGGATTCCTAAAAGGTGACATGTTGACCACATGGCATATCATTATTGAGCATTGCATGCATTGTAACATTCACAAGCCTTTTATTATGTATATTCATCTGTTTCCAGATGTGGATTTTTTCTTCTTTTTCTTTTTTCTTTCTTTCCTCTTCCTGTCCTTCTTCTTTTTTGAGACATGGTTCTCACTTTGTAGCCTTGGCTGGAACTCACTGTGTAGACCAGGTTGGCCCAGAACCCACAGAGATCTTCCTGCCTCTGCCCCCAAAGTGCTGAGGTTAAAGGCATGTGCCACCATGACTGACCATTTTTGTTGTTGTTGTTGTTCTGTATTATTATTAATTTATTTTATGTGTTTGGGTGTTTTGCCTGCATGTATGTCTGTGTCTTCAGAGGGCATTGGATCCCCTGGAGCTGAAGTTACAGATGGCTGTGAACCATCACATGGGTACTGGTAGCCGAATCCAGGTCATCTGCAGGAATAGCAAGTGTTCTTAACCACTGAGCTATCTCTCCAGCAGCAGCAGCACCAGCCCTCTGCTTTTTTTCCCTTTGAGATAAGGTCTCATGTAGCCTAGGCTGGCCGCAAATTCTAATTCACTACATAACCTAAACTGGCCCTGCTCCTCCTACCTCCACTGCCAAGTGTGGGATTCCAGGTGTGTACCATCACATCAAGACTTTCCCTGCTTTTCCTTCGTTGTTATTTAATTCATACTTGTTCACTAGCACACTATCAACAGAACTGGTCTGTGTTTGCATAATCTAGCTTGATTTTTTTCTCTTCTTTTGAGGCAGGGTGACCGTACATAACTCAGACTGGCCTCAAAATTTGTATCTACCAGCCTCAAGCTCCTGAATGCTGGGTTCACAAGCATGGGCCACAATCCTGGTCAGTGATCTAGCTTTGAATTCAGAACTAAATGCTTCCATGGTGTGCATTGAAAATTGGAGGTAGTAGATCAGCTGAGCTCTGTTTTGACCCTTCTCAATGTCAATAGCCAGAACCTCTGTCCCAGCTAAGAGGCGGAAATTATTCAAGAGGCTCCTTAGCAATGCCCAGCATCCACTTAAAAAATGGCAGGTCAGCCACAGACAGTTTACTTTAACAGAATAGCTGGAGAAAACAATCAAAGAGAGTTCTAGAAGGTATTACTTCCTTAGGAGCTTAAATACTTCTTGTTCCTTTTTCCAACTTTCTTTTCACTTTTGAGACAAGGTCTCATGATGTAGCCCAGGCTGGACTTTAACTTTTAGTGATCCTCCTGCCTCTGCCTCCCCAGTACTGGGATTACAAGTGTGTGTCACCACGCTCAGCTTCTCTTCTGTTTCCTTTTATAATATCTTGGAGGGACACACATTCCTGTCACACAAATAAATGAACTAAAGATATCTTGAGAATGTCTAAAGCTTGTTGGAGCATACCTAAAGGTGGAAACTGTGTCACACAGTGATTTCAGCCCTGGAGAGGTGGAGGCAGGAGGATCACGAGTTCAGTGCCAGGCTCAGCTACCTCGTGAGTTCAAGGCCAGACTAGGCTACATGCAACCCATCTCAACAACAACAAAGGAGAGTTTTGGTGTTGATGTTTTTTATCTACTTTAGGACTGGAGAGATGGCTCAGTGGTTAAGAGCACTGGCTGCTCTTCCGGAGTGCCCCTGTTCTGTTCCCAGCCCACAAGGCGGCTCCCAGCCACCTGGAACTCAGGTTCCAGGAGATCCACAATGCCCTCTTTTGACGTCCCGAGACACTGAATGCATATTGTGCATAGACATACATGCAAGCAAAATACCCGTACACATAAAATGAAAAGTTAAAAAAGGTTTAAATAAACTTTGTCACTGGATGTGATAGAGCATGCCTTTAATCCCAGCACTTGGGAGGTAGAGGGAGGTGGATCTCTGAGTTCCAGGACAGCCAGGGCTACACAGAGAAACCTTGTCTCTGGAAAATAAATAAGAAAATAAGTAAATAAACTTTGTCTTCTCTGTGGACTTTATCTCCTGTCCAGGACTCTTTATTCTTCAACAAGCTCTCTCTGGTTAATATCGACATTGCCACTTCTCGATACACTGCTCTTTGAAAATGAGCTCCTCAGCTGAGCATGATGATGCACACCTTTTTTTTTTTTTTTTTTTTTTTTTTTTGGTTTTTCGAGACAGGGTTTCTCTGTGTAGCTTTGCGCCTTTCCTGGAACTCACTTGGTAGCCCAGGCTGGCCTCGAACTCACAAAGATCCACCTGCCTCTGCCTCCCGAGTGCTGGGATTAAAGGCGTGCGCCACCACCGCCCGGCGATGATGCACACCTTTAACCCCAGCTGTCAGGAGGCGGAGGCAGGAGAGCAATATTACTGGGAATGTGAGGTTAACATGGTCTATATATATCAAGTTCCAGGCCAGCCTGGGCTGCATAGTGAGACCCTTACTCAAAAGAAAAAAGAAACAAACAAATGTGAACTTTTCTTTTCTTTTTTTTTTTTGGAGCTGAGGATCATCGAACCCAGGGCCTTGTGCTTGCTAGGCAAGCGCTCTACCACTGAGCTACATCCCCAACCCCAAACTTTTCTCTCCACTCAAAACAAGAGATGTCAAACAATGAAAATAATACCCTAACTATATCAGATGAGCAAGAGAAAAGAAATGAATCGGCAGTAGTCTGCCATAAGACATGGTTCAGGTGATAGCCAGCTACCTAGAAGCAGGGAACTGACTGTGGTTCCTAGTGATTTTTCCCACCAGTAGCTGTCATCACAGTTTCCAGAAAAGCTGCCAAGAAATAACAGGAATTAGCATTTCACACAACCACTCCCACACGCAGAAACACACACTCAGAAGCCTTGGAACTTTTCCCAACTGCTCTTTGCCCTCCTGCCTTCCCTTTCCTCCCAGCATTCCAGACAAACAGGCAAGGCATTTGACTCACCTTGAGCAGAAGACTTCAGAAGGTGCCTCCCTCTGCCAGTGCTGCTGAGGCCTTTAATCTCCACTGTTCCCAAGAATCAGAAAACCCCAGGGATAAACGTCTGACCCTGCTTCCCTTCTCCCTTTCTCCTCTGGCTGCCTCTCCTCCAAACAATACCCTCAAGCCTCTGGCTCTTGAGACACTTAGCACTCTCCTGCAGCTAGCAACCCAGGCAATCAGTTTGATTTCAAAAAAATGTGACTTGATTATGTTGTTCCCACCACCGCAGCAATGTCTAGCCCCATTGTTGGGTCTTAGTAGACGTTTGAATAGCCTTGCCTGAATTGGCCTGGGGCACCTCCTGAATTTCACAGTGTGCTGAATTGCAAGAGCCTGACTGACAGGCCAACTGCTTCCTGTCTGGGAAGATCCACCCGGAGACCAGAAGACAGTTGCTCCACTGCTTCGGAGGGAAAGCGCTGGCCTAAACTACACCCCTCTGCCTGTGATCCCACCTCACACACTCTCTGCCACAGGCTGAAGCAGTCCAGAATTTGTGCTTTTTAGAAGGATAGGACTTTTCACTAAGTGGATCGGCTAACAGACCGAGCTGTGCAGGCTGTGTTTTGGGCTCACCTTCAAAAGTGTGTAATGTGGGTCGCATGGTGGAACCAGCCCACTTTAATGGGCTAGGCACAGATTAAATATGTTATTATTAATAAAGAGAAAAGGTGCAGGAATATGTAGGTAAGAAAGTGAGCTTGAAAGTTGTGGATAGCTCAGCAAACAATACCCCCAAATAAAGGTCTCAGAAGCTGAGTTTCTTCCTGATCTCTGCCCTCCTGTTGTTTGGCCTCTCCGTCTCTCCCAGGCAAACCACACAGACACCAGGATTCTTCTTCCCCAAGGCAGATCCCAAGTATGACCAGAGGAGAAATAGCCCTTTCTCCGAAGCCAGCCATGTAACCTCAAAATGTTTCTGCAGCTCCTTCCCCCTCTCCCTCTCCCTCTCCCCTCCACCTCTCCTCCCT